ATGTATATTTTGCACACCCAAGTCCAGACTGTGTGCCAAACGAATCACAGTGCAATAATCTTGATAAAAAAGAAAAATCGTGATTTGCTTCTGACGGAATACTGGATGTCTCCCAGGAAAAGCGGGTGAATTTTCTTTGGGATTGACAAGCAGAGCTTTCGGCTAGCTAAAGCCTGATTGATAAAGCAACCGAGCAGTGTGATAACCAATATCCATTAGGGGACAGGTGTCCATTTCATCTGATCATACATCCTTCGGACGAGGTCGAACGTCCAAGGGGCTGAGTACATCTCGATACCCAATCGAGGTGGCGACTGCTGTTACAACCAGGAAATTGTGGGTGTGCATGGTTCGTACGGCTCTTATTGGTTAGTTTTAATCGGGGTTCTTAGCACCTCCTTCTGGTGGTTCATCGATCCAGATGTTGACTTTTCTCATCCTCACTTTGATGGGAAAAGAACTCCTCCGTGGAAAGGCAATGAGTAGGACTTCCTCAGTAGAGGTTATTTGTAACACTTAATCGTACAGGAGCACTTCGTGAGGTGTTGGGGAAGAGTAACCAGCTCAAGATATCCACCCCCCGACCATACTGTGATTTTCGGAGACATGAAGAAAAAGACCGCGACTAGACTTTCGTACTACTCTAATTTGCGTACTGTGCTTACAACTCCTGTCCTTCGGGTTACGATACTCATGTCTTGTGTAGAGGCTTGTGTACTACCCTGAATCCTAATAGTCGTTTCAAAAGCAAGAACAAGCATGATCATCGCCGGATAGGTTAATTTCGACTGGTTCGCATTGCCTTTCCAGCTTTGTATGAATGTTCCAACAGAACACAGACAAATCATTCGACACCAGAAACACGCAACGGGACAAACTAATACAAACTACTAAGGTCATCGGTCAGAATTGGATTGAACAGCGAGAATGAGCGGGATTGTGGTGGCAGTCCTACCATAGCAGAGTCAAACGAGCCACAAAGTGCAGTTGTTTACTTTGGTTTTGTCTGCGATAATGGATTGCTATGACCTCGCCAAACCGTTTTTCATTTTCCCCATATAAGTCGTTTTATAGGTGCTTAAATCTCACACTGTATATTGGACAGTGGTTTCTCTTTATCGAGCCTAAGATATCCTAATTGGTTAGTGCCACGATCAATGTTCACCTACAGATCCCGTTGGGTGGACAAATACCGTGAACTACCATGACCGGAATTCAGCTGCCGCACTACGTTCTCCTGACCTCGTCTCTCACTGTCATCACACACCCGTGTGCCGACGAGGTTCGATGATTAGTCATTGCACTGTTATCGGCGTTGTATCTTCCGGTCACCCAGTGACTGCAAGTTACTGTTAAAATGTGGTACCATGTGAAACATGCGTTTTTACACGAATCTGGTCAGACCGTGTGTGTGTGTGTGGTCTTGCGTGCACACAGCAGTCTATTTTGGTGTATCCAGTGACAGCCCTCACTAATCATAATCGTTTTGTTGCTCCCCGCCTTGTTACGGTGCTTTTGCATCAGCCTGGTAGTGTTTGATGCACAGTAGCCTTGATGTATACTGTGTCATAAAAACATTTGATCAATCAAGAAAAGGGCGGGTGCTGGACCATACGTAAGCTTGCTAGTAATTTAGGTTGCGACCGTACTGAATACCACCAAAGTATGTTTCCCCCTAGGATTTCGTATCTGATGTTTTGGAGTTCTGTCAAAGATGTCAGTGCCTTCAGCTGTTTCACAGCTCTTTCTAATGATCCAAATCTACCCCCATGCCTTCAAGGCCTTGGGTGGTTCTCCACTCCAAGTCTCGCGTTTTTGTTATCAGTCTTCTCTCTCTCACCGTACACGAATCTTACAGCTTACATGGGTAACTTCTTTGTCTTTCACCCACGGAATTTGAATCACATTTTCGCTTCCCCATGAATCATGTTCTATGACCTTATTTTGACCGAAACAAGCCTCTTTCTCATCAGGTGCTATTCGTCTAGTGTCTGAAATCCATTCTTCGCTTTTCTTTCCCTCTCCAACTCGATGTCTATGTTTATATTCACAATTCTGTTGCGTCTTCCTGCCTTGAATGTATGCAGAGTTCGATTGCGTACTTTGTGTGTTGACCACAGTGGCCCATCTTCATCTCCCACCCTCAAAAGAGATCCAATCCCTGTCCACCTTAAATTTTACCACTAATCTTGTATGCATTGCGAGTTTGGCAGCGATCAGTGAAGTTCGCTTCACTGTATTTCGCTGTACAATGATGATGATGACTTGAATTATCTAACTGACTTCTTTTGAACACTAATTTTGTACTATCCGCCCTTCTTCAACAGCAATGAATATATGTACATATTTCACACATCGGATTCCAGACGGTGTGCCAAACAAATCATGGTACAATAATCTTTATAAAAACGGTCCCATAATTCGCACTTGGGCGGAGTACTGCCAGGTTGCCTAGGTCAAGGCAAGTGAGTCTTGAGGAATTCACTACCGGAACCTTCAGTTAGCCAGAGCCTAATCAACAAGACTCAGTTACCACGCTGAACTCGGTGTGTACACCAACTCTTGTTATTTGATTCTGTTTCCGCCTGCAGAAGGATATCTACCTGCCTTATGTTTATACATTTTATTAATCGTATGTTGTATCATTGTCAACGCCACATGTACTCCTCCGTTCATACCCGTTAAAACAGACATGTTCTGCCCTGGACTCACATCTAATCAAGAGTTTGGATCTGCTGTCACTCCGATCTGGCGGTAAAGATAGGAAAGCCTATATGAGTTTACCGTCTTCCGTTGACCAATCCGCACTCTCTCCGGACACATTTCCAGCAGCGAGCAGCTCGGGTCCGGAGCGTAATCGACAGTTGGCCAAATGGGCAAGCAAGCATATATATCGCATTTATCAGGTAAGTGAAATCTGATTGGGTGCTGCTTGTGATTCGGTTGCTTTCTCCCCAGAATCCTCTTTTCAATGAAATAATAACTCACGAATAAATGCAATACTACTCTGTAGTTCATAAGTCTAAACTGGTTCGATTGGGTCATCCCTTAATGATGTAATAAAGAAATACAAAAACATTTTGGTAGGCTTCTAATTGACTGGGGGTGGACAGATCAAGTCATTAAAGTCTGTGATTCGCTCATCGCTCTATCACTATTTTGTTGATGAGCAACTTCGCTGTTACCCGAACTTAGTACGACACCCGTTGCAGTTCATAAACCCAGAACTTCGATTATGGTATGGCTATGAAATTCCCTCATTTAATCATGTTTTTTTATCACACTGTTCGGTGCTCACTGTTCCCTTCAGTCTCTCTCTCTCTTGGTCTATTAGATTCTCGCTTTGCATGACTGAGCACAGTGTATATTACAATAATTACTAGTACAATGACACCAATGCTTCACTTGCTCATCTATTTGAGGGTTCCATTCGTAATGGGTTCCGTACAAATGGCTTTAATCCTTCCTTCGATTGCATGACACTTATTCTGAAACACGTATCTGAGCTCGAATTCCGAGGAGAAGTCTCACCGTTTTAGTTAGCTATTGTTTTTTCTAGGTAGATTGTAATGCTCTCAACTGCGAACTTCGGTGCCTTTGTGTGTGTGTGTGTGTTATTGAATGGAAGTTTTTAGTCGTTTTTATTTTGCCCCGTGTTTGTTTCAGATCAACTCACTAAGCGAGTGCTCGAAGTATGCAGCACTTTCCAAATCCGCATGCTCTCAATCGCATAACGAATAACAAATCTGTCTGGAAATCTGTTTTTGCTGTCTATCTGTTTCCAATTGTATTTTGTCCAAGCACATCAAATTACCACTTCTGATTGGGCCTTCTTTGTCGAATTAGCCACATCGAAAACGAGCCAGAGGTCACCGACCGGATATCCACATAATTTATTTTGCTCCGACTATCAGCTGCTGCGATCCTCAAGGCCCATTACTCTCTCTCTCTCTCTCTCTCGTTACAGACCGCATTTATCGATAAGCTGGAAAGCCAGATGGCTCAACCTTTGTCCCAGTTGCCGACTACCGCGCATCCGAAAACCAATTGCATGGGAGTGACCAATCACCATGTTTCGCGTCCTTCACACTCACCATCCAGAAGTCAATTCGCCCAATCCAGTGTTCCGGACACCGATTCGGTATTGCATCAACGTGCAACTTCGTCGGTGACGGCTAATGGTGATGATGAGCAGTGATAAATGCATTCCACCTCTTGCCTTGATAGTTCTCCCGTACCCTACTCTCTCCCGTCCTGTCCATTATGCTGTGTTTCTCTCCTGACCGTTCCCTCCATCCCATATCTTGTTCTTCACCATGGCATGTGCAGTATCAATTTCTCTACTTTATGGGTCCCAGCTGCCTCCGCACTCAGTCCTACCCTCCAAATATCTTTGTTCGTTTCAACCAGTTGTTTTCTCTCTATGTCGCCCGTTTTATTCCCTTGTTGGACGAATTTTTCTTTCGGCACACGCACAAACATTGTTGAACATAACGAATGAGCAGAAACAACCAACAGTTGATGGCTCCCCTATTCACTTATTCCTTGCAACCTTCAACTTCCAATCGCACGGTATAGGTTTTTCACGTATCTAAACAGTCAGTTTATCTGTCTGTTTCACTTTCGTTGAAACCTGTTGCTGTTGCCGTTGCGATTGTGTTTGCGCAAACCTGTTCCCAAATCTCCCATTTATGTGTGATCGCTTAGCTGTTGTCCATATGCATATTATAAATACACAGTTGCTCTGCATCTGCTTTCAGTTCATTCTAATTCGATCGGTTCTTTTCCCCATCTTGCCCAGTCTGTTTTCTGTTTCATCCCGTCTTCTGTGCATTCGCTCACGCGACTCCTGAGGATGCACGTGCTCTGCTTTTGCACACACAGATTCATCTCGATTGTACACACGATTCTATTTGGATTAGGGTGTATCCCTATCTCACTACGAAGATTACGATATCAGAGGTGTCCACCACTAGGAGGTGGTGACTTGTTCACCTCTGTGGCCCAAAGAGCTACATGGGATGGGCTTCATGAGACCAAACATCTAATCATGGCTAAACGGGCGGAAGGTAGAGGTCAGATGAACTCCAGTCTGTTAATCGTCCAGGTTAGAGTTTCGACTCGATTCGCTGTTTCAGTCGGTAAAATGACGGAGGAATAATCGATTTATTTCACCTCACCCCCGATTTTACATTCAGGTTCCCGTCAAAACTAAAAATCAGGGTTGAAAGCCCTAACTGTTCTGTTTGTTGATTGAGCTTTCTAGCGGTAACCGTTCATCAAGCTGAAATGAAAACAAACTAAACGAATTCTGAACTGCATTGGTCGTTGTGCATCGAGCGAGGTGGCTAGTGATAAGTTTTCTACTGTTCATACATCCCAACCTATTTTGGTTCTGTCTTCTATCTCCAAGACAGTCTCTCCATAATGCTCACCTGTCATAAGTTTTGGTCATTTATCAAGTGCCGTTGCCAAACAGTGTTGTAAGTGGTGTACTATCGCGTGAATCGCACATTCAAATGCCTCGTCACCCTATGGATCTGAGGGCCTTAAACTTGAGAATGCTCATGCAGATGGGTCAACAAGCATGTTTTACCAGTTAGATTTATGCACTACCTATAGGGGACTAGGAATCAGGATCGACATAGCATAGACCACAGAAAAGTTTCGAGTTCAAGATACTTTCCGTGCATTGCAGTAGACTCGAAGTTCGTCCATTTGTTTCACGCCATTGAATAGCATCGAACATCGTCAATGAGCGGCTGATCTATTGGACTTGAACACGCATGGTTTTTGGCTTCGTACACAGTCTACGACGATTAAATACATGTCAACTTCATACAGTGTCGTGCACCATAGTTTGAGGTCACCCAAATCGTATGCTGAGAGGTCATGGTTGAAACAGTTTAACTAGGGGTGTTTGTAGTCATCATTCATTAATGGAGGTGGACAGACTTGCCTGTTTTCCGGCGATCGGAAACTAGACTAGTTTTCATGTATGTATGTGACACCCCACCAAGTTTCAGTTGTCCATTCGATCGAGAGAAAAAATACTGGTCAATTTGGGAGGACAATGCTCCTATTAGTAGAATGGGCTGGGTAGCCCCCAGCCAATAAGGTGGTGTCCCGTCCACGTCCCGCTTGTCTCATTGGGTGCATGAGGCTAAGGGCTGATCCCGAAAAGCGGACCGATAATCAACGCACCAGCGAACAACAAACTTAACCGAAATTCAAAGGTCTTGCGTGACAGGTCTCCAGAAGCTCCCACAAGGGTGCTTCGTTCACGCTCCCGCCTTGGATTTACGCCCCACTGTGGGTCAGACTCTTGAGTCAAGGCTCCGGTTAAGGTTCCCAAAGAAAAACCTCTTCGTCGGTGTGGCCTACCGCGAAGTATGCCGTGCCCTAAAGTCTTACGAACCCATTTGGAAAACGACCCTTCCCTTCTGACTAGTTCTTCTTCTCAACC